TGCCCTCGAAGCTTCGCTTCTCGGGCAAGTATTTGTTTTAAGAACATCAAATTTCCGCGGAGCAACTATCAGCCGATAGTTCCTCGACAGAAACACTATATTGTTTAAATAGACCACATGTAGCTATATGATACTGCAGCTGGAATTATGTAATTACATAATCTTGAGTTTTTAACTGTGTTTATGTCTGATAATAAACCTTGCTGTGTTTTCCCTCATTTGCTTTAACCAACATATTTAATAACTGTCAGTAGTATGTTTTACCAAATACATGTATTGAATTGCTATAAATTCATGTGGTTCCCTTTTATTTGCAGAGTTTTAGTGCGACATGCAAGGAAGATAGCACAGCAGTACTATCTAATGTATCAAGAAGAAATTCCAACAGCACAGTTGGTTCAAAAACTTGCATCAGTTGTACAGGAATATACTCAGTCAGGGTGAGAATAGAAAAAAAAAATTGCTTTGAAATTAAAGTAAGGAATGGTCTTTCACCAAGATTTCCGTGAAGTTGGGGCAACCAACAATATCTAGACTGCTGCAAAAATGAATCAACACAGATTCAACGTGATAACCATGTGATGTTTTGTTTTTTATTTCCCTCATTTTAGAGGTGTTCGTCCATTTGGTGTTTCTCTTCTTGTTGCTGGGTGGGATGATGACCGGCCTTACCTATTCCAGTGCGATCCATCGGTAAGTACCTCTCTTGACATAAACCAACCATAGAGAGGCTAAGATGTAATCAAGTTACAGGCCTTACCGAGGTGGATACTCTAAAGATCGATCTTCTTATGGGAGGTCAATTTTTAGATAATATAAAGGATACAGGATGCCTGCTTTACTATATCATTTATTTGTTGAATAAAAAATTATGATTAAAAACAGTTGAACTGAATAATAAAAATGAACAAATGTATAATATACCCTAGGAGTTTAACAGACAGATCCATGTAAAAACTGTATTTGTTTCAGGGTTCATATTTTGCATGGAAGGCCACAGCAATGGGTAAAAACTATGTCAATGGCAAGACATTTCTAGAAAAGAGGTAATTTGTAATATTAGGTTATTCTTCTTTTTGACAGACATGGAACAATTTATTTGGCTAAAAAATCCTACCTAATGATTAATGTTCTCTATAACAAATTGACGTCAGTTTTTCATGCGTCTGTCCTGTTATTGGTCATGAATTTCATCATAGCATTGTCAAAGTAGCTGTGGATCCGCAGACTACTTGGACAATGTTATGACAAAATTCATTGTCAATAACACAACAGACCCATAAAAAAATGACCTCAGTTTGTTTTTTATGACAACAAATTGCCAAATTGTCCCGGCAAATTGGCCACCCCTGCTCATGGACCAATGGCGCATCACATAAATTATAAATTCATGTGTCTGTCCGCTTATTGACAATGAAAATTAGCCAATGAGCGAGCGAGAATTTCTGCAGTTATCGTAAAATGTTTTATTGCTGTCGCTTGTCTATTGGCTAAAATAAATGAGTACCTGTACGCAAAGTGTTGTGCAACCTGACGGAATGTAAAGGGATACCCTGCATTAAACAAGTATTTGATATAGAGGGAGAGACAGCACTCTTAGCTACTCCATGCTCTGGAAACCTGGGATAGGTGCAAGCACTGAGCCAGGTTGTTTAAAACCCGATTAAGTTAACCCAGGATACGCAAGAATTTTGATTTCAGTTTTGTAATAAAATATTGTTCTGCAAGGTTTCCTGTTTGAATATTGTTTATCGTTTTGTTTTGAGTTTGAATAATCTCAAACTACACAAAACTTAAGCAGTAAAAGAGCATGTTTACACAAGAGAAGGTAACACTTCAGTTGACTTGTAATCCTGGGTTAGCATTGACTGGCTTTCAAGCAACCTGGTCCTGATGTGTTACCGGTATTAACCTCCTACACAGACATGTTGCATGACAAGGACAAATCACGTCTTCCTTGGAGTCTAATGAGCTATCAGACTTCACCGATTCCTTGGATTAGAACAAACTTCTTGAGTAAACTGCAACTGAGATTTTTGTTGTTCCCTCATTATTTTTCTGCATAAAACTTTAGCACAAGGTAATAGGACTGATGTGGAATTCTTCTTGATTACAGGTACAATGAAAACCTTGAGCTAGAAGATGCTATTCACACAGCGATCTTAACCCTTAAGGTAAGTCTTAAGTTTTCCTTTGTGCCAACCTCAGAGGGTGTGAAGGACTTGACTGCAGCTTAGGAATTTTCTGACAGAAGCAAAGTAAAAGTTGTCTAAATGGTTTCCTGTACTTCTTTCCCTGCAGGAGAGCTTTGAAGGCCAAATGACAGAAGATAACATTGAACTAGGAGTTTGCAATGAACAAGGCTTCCGTCGCCTCACCCCAGCAGAAGTGAAAGACTACCTTGCCTCCATTATTTCTTAGTATAAAGATTTTCTTAAATATTATTCTCAAGTGCAAATCTGTCTTCTCTCCGATCTTGTCTTGGAATTTTCCTGTGGTGAAAACTATCAATGTGTGAGGATGTTGGTTAAAGTTGGTCTTCCTACTGGACACCATCTGCACTTTTTTTTCTTTTTTTTTTTTCAAAAGAAAAGTCCAGTCCTTAATCCTTAAAAGGATTTTGACTGTTTTTGCATGCTGCTTATACAGGTCAGATTTGACTGCAGCTACTGAAATTCATCTTTTTCTCCTGTACTTACTGGGATTTTTTTATTTAACTCGCATTGTGTTGAAAATATCAAAAGAATAAGTCTTCGCAGTTGTAGTCAAGTGTAAAAAGCCCAAGATCTGGGAGAAGTGTTGTACTGTTTTCCACCATTTATTGTAGTATGCAATTTTTCGAAACTGGGATTCTTCAGAATAAAGGCACTTCCCCAAGTTTGTCGTTTTGGTACACTTTTCACCTTTTTCCAATATAACGGACTTGTTAGCGGAATCGCATAACTCACAGATCGTACAAACCCCACTTCCCACTCCATGCAGTTATACAGCTCCATACAGCCCACACCAATACTACATGACCGGATGATATCTATGACATTTGGATGCACAAATCTTTGTAATGTCGCAGTTATCCGGCTGTACGCGAATTAAAACAGTTGAAATTACTTCAAATCATCATAGCTCAAGGTAACATCTAGGCTCACTCTGTAGCCGTGGGTGTTTCGGTGCGCTCGCGATCCTGAGACTGAGCCCAGGTAACATCCAGATTATACCTACAAGTTTAGGGCGTAATTAGTCATACTAATATATGTATTTTTTGAGAAAGTTTATTTTAACGTAGGCTGTACAAAGAATAGTCGGTTCCGTTGGAGGGACTGATTTCAGCGAAGGATTGAATAACGATTTAATATATTTGGCACACCAGCCTCACCTAGTCTATTTTCCATTCTGAGTCCAGAAAGTCTTCACTCTCGCTAGAGCACTAGGCTAATAAATAAACAGTATAAATTCTACCATTATTGCATTAAGTACATATAAATATCTAATTTAAGAGCTTTTGCTGTTCCTTTTAATTAAGCACTTGTGCTCATATGGTCAACTGAGTGCCTCGTTAGAGGTAGACTACGCGTAGTACCTCTTTCCCTTAGTCTTTCGTGCGTGACGCGAAAAACTGCGAGAAAATAATGGCCGCGCGAAGCGCGTCACGCACGACCGACTAAGCGAAAGAGGGACCACTCGTAGTCTACATTACAGGTGGATTCGGATATTTCGATTACATGTAACCAATGTGGCCGCCCCTCGCCACTCAGTAATTAACCGAGCTATTGGCCACTGTACTACAATATTACTTCTTCTGTCAATCCAACAGAATTCCCGGCACTCTAGATATAGACGAAGTTTATTCCCATAGCTTTCGTTGTTGACTATCCCTTTTTTCGCGCACTTTGCTCGTGTCCGAGGGCTACTGGAGGCTCCGCCCGAGGGGATACCACGAGACTCGCGAGACGAGTTGTTCTCGCGACCCTGCTCACGCGAGTGACTCTTGCACGCTGACGTTTTTACAAGTTCAACGTATATAAAAGGGTAGGGAGTTGAAGAATTGAAAGGGCTATAGGGAAACTTGCATCTGGGTATCTCAAGGGCCCTTTTAAAATAGCTCGAACAGACCCACTTAACTACTAGTGCATCGAAAGTACTTCAAGGAGTTACTCAATCCAAATGTTAAAGTACTATTTTCTGTGGAAGATAAATGCAAGGGTTTGGACCTCGGGGCAGAACCTCCCAGTTTAAACTTCGTCGAGTACTCCCCCCTGTTCGGGTGTACGTTGAAGTTTTCCGGTCGCCGAAGTCTCTTTGTGTTCACCGATGTTATTGTTTTCCGAGCACAATCCATACAACAACCTTGAGATTACAGTCGTTAGTGTATCATAGGCTTTGTCCACTGCACAGTCAGTAGTGTTCCTCATTAGGCAAAGTTTGTAAGCTTGTAACATGAAACACACGTGTGCATCTGAAGCTGGGTTCGATGTGTTCCCATTTATAATTCTTGTGTACATTGCAGTACACTTTTTAACGACCATCTTACAGGATTCCTCTTTCCACCGATCTGGCCCCAAAACGGCTCCTGGCAATGAACAGAATAAACGTCAAAAACAAAAATAACATTTACACGCCTTCTAGAGAGATATCGATCCCCCAAGCCGGGGCTGGAGTAGCCTGTGAGCAGGCTCTCATCGTTGGTGGCACGAGCAAAGCCGTCGACGAGCGAAGCGAACCGGTGAGAGGCTCCCCACCAACTCGCTTTGCTCGCTGACTCCTCTCTCACGACTTTGCTCATCGAATTTGCTCCTGCCGCAACGCATGAGATGAGAGCCCGCTCGCAGGCTAGGGTTGGAGGAGGAACCATATGAAATCCATATGGCTTTCATATGAAATCCCATATGAAACGGTCTGGGATCGATGTTCGTCCGGTCTCGCTAAGGAGTGTAAATTAAGGATTTTGGTCTAACCTAAGATGTCCAGGACAGAAGATCACTATTTTTTGCCTTCGAAGTATTTTTGAAGGGTGCAATCGAAGAAATAATATCAAAAAAACCACTGTCATCTCCGTTTTAAGGTATCTTTTAGGGGTCAAATAAAGCTGAAGCCACGCCCAGACAGATCTTCTTAAGGAGTATACCAGCAATTCAAATTTCCCCCGGTCCTCCGCCCCCCGAGATATCGATGTAACGTTGCAGTCGTTTGGAATAATGAATACTTTTGGAATTGTCCCGTGTACTCTGCCATATTTCGGACCAAAATCCGTGATTTTCTAGAATCTGCTCTCAATTTCAGGGTTCGGCCTTGAACGTTTGCGTGTAATATTTCGGTAGTCTGTTTTCGTAATTATCTTTCCAAAAATCGCTTAGTTACTCGAATAAGAATCTGAGTGAACTCGCGCTCAAGTTATCCGTTCCAGGGTGGTTGAACATAACAGAAAGTTAGATGACTATTATGCGATCAGTTTTAAGACTATGCCAAAAAAATATATCGCCCTTGTAAACCGCTTTTTCTGGTAATCCAAATACCCTATTTCAGACCAAAAGGTCAAGTATTTCCGACAAAGACGAAACTACGCTTTCAATTCAGTTGCAGCACCCCCACCCACACCCCCTGCCGATAATTTCATTGACCAAATTAATTAAGCTCGACAATTTGGGGTTCTTTGGCTAGGATATTACATGCATACGAAATAAAAACGGCGAAACACTGTCCCCTTGGCGTTTTTCAACCGTTTCCAATGCTCGGAATCCTTGGCCGAGCACTCTCTTCATTTCTTCGCCGCCGTTTATAATTAGTGTTTTTTGAGATTTCAAAATTTTTACAGCAGTGTCAGTTGTAATGTTTTTCTTTTTATGGAAATGGCTACGCGGCGAAATCAAAGGATGTCTAAAAGGCTGAAGAAGCTATTTATGTTGTTTCTCTAAAAGTAATGAGTTACATAATAATTATGAGTCGGAGTGTGTTGCCAGATAAGTTTGATAAGAGAACGCCAATTACATTTTGTATATCGTCACTAGTAATGGACCACGTGGTGTTATCTACGCATTCTCTCTTATCAGTATGTAAACATTGTAGTAAATCGCAGCTGGCAGTGTCTTTGCGCTAAAGCTCTAAAAAGAAATCGATTGGAAGGGTAGAAAACTTACAGCCCTACTCCACCATTGACGTTCCTAATCACCCACCGCTCCCCACCCCACTTAGGGTACCTTAAGTCTACGAGCACTGTTCTCCGCTCGAGGACAGCCTCCTTTAGAAGTTCAGAAATACCCGAGCTAGTGACGGGAGCTTGCTATGGACTTTCCCTCTATGAGCATACCCGATTCGCCTGAATCGGCAGACTTTGTAATTCTGTGATTCGTGCGACAACAGCCTATGACAACACCTCCGGTGGTGTAAACTCGCGCTAATCATCCCATGACAGGCGGCAACGTAAGAACAAGTATAAATCCAGCAAAAGCTAAGAATAATCTATACGACATACCTTCCTTTCCATCTACTGTTACGAGAATTACCACAAGGAAAAGAAAAACGGCGAAATTTCCTCGCACGTTCACCAAATTTCCGACCATTCTCTCAACATCGAAGGAACGCAACTTTGCTTGTCAGTTTGCGCTGTCAAGTGACAATTTGAAGAGATTTCCAACAGTCCTCATTCAATCCGTGTTGCTTGTGTAAATAGCGCGCATCCCAAAACAACATTCTTCGCGCTGTGTAGAGTCGCTACAGCTGTGAAGCGACGGAAAAGATAACATTGTTTGACGCTCGGCGATTTAAATGGATGCAGCCTGGGAGGGGAGAGTAAAACTCAGCATTGTTCGCTACGCTAAATTAACAATATTTCTGGCAAGTTTAGCTATTTTTTTCTGCCTTGAAAGTTTATTTCTTGCATTGATTTAATCGGTCCTTGTTTAAAACCAGGATGTTTGATGTTTTTCATAATCAGCTTTCATGTTTTACCACTCAACTCGACCACCCTCCCTGCATATGTTCGTATCTTTTGGAAATCCAACAGGAAAATGGCCCTAAGAGGTCAAGATGAATTCCTAGATATGCCATATCCTAAAGCTACCATAAATTACCGTCGCGAGTGAGCTAATGATCCTTCTCAAATCGCCCTAATGCGGCCCTCCGACATCGCTCGTACTCTGCAACAAACGTTGCTCAGAGGAAGTAAGATGTGATCTAGCGGCAATTTGTGGAGAATAGATGGTCTACATATTCCATCTGAGGAACAGTTGATAGAGTGAAGTTTAAACCACTGATTGATATGATTTGTGATAAGCTGATCTTACAGAGGTCATTATTTCCTGACTTTGTTTTGAATTGAATCATACTGGTCGGATCGGATTATAGGTCAAATGTCTAACTCTTCCGAAATTCCACCGCAAAATCCCCCTAACAGGGAAAAGGAAATTTGTTTTGATATAGATGCTTATTGAGATCTCGTGGTTCCGGCTTCGACGCCACACCTGTACCTCGAGGGTCCTGGAGAAATCCCACGAGAAATCCTAGGGATACTCCCTATAATGGACTATACGGGGAGGCTCCGCCCAATAGGGAACCTTTTCAGACTGGAGATATAGACATATACGCACAGATATACGAGGGTACAGCTTTCACCAGCTGAAGCATACAATCGAGTAGGAAAACAAATTGTCATTTAGGTATTCGAGGCCTTTTTTGAGGAGGTGCGAGGGCCTTTTCTGGGTTTGAAACTAACGATTTAGGGATTTTCAAGAGTAGAAATCTTCTGGTGGAGCTTTTCGGGTAAAAAGATTTTAGCAGGATTTTTTTAGGGTCGGTATTTGAAGGGGTAGCATTTTCCATAGAAGATATATGAAAAGATCACTTTTTCTGTCAAAAATGATTTATAAATAGGAAAGGATTTGGACCTCTAGACACGGAACGTCCGCGTAGAAAACTTTATGAAGCATTCCCCGGAAACAAATCTCATGCATCACCGTAGCATTGCTTACAATATTTTCTATCGACGTGGGCACATTGCAATTTTTTCGACCCCAGGGCTAGTAAGTTTGATAACATAGAATCAAAATGACGAGCATAAGCCAAGCCAACCGAGTAGCCAAGAACAAAAAAAAAATACAAAAAAAACGAAGGGCTATTCATATCTTTTGCTTTCAAAGACGAAAGACCTTAAATAAACAAACAGAACGACCTGTTTGGCTTAGTCTTCAGAGACAGAG